GAAGAGTATTGAATGTACCATGGACTGCTAGGAAAACAAACAGATTCATCCTGGAGAGGGTTAAACCAGGCTGCTCCTTGGAGGCAAGGATTCTGAGGCTTCGTCTGATATACTTTGGACAAGTTGTAAGGATACACCCGTCCTTGGAGAGGGACATCATGCTTGGAAGGGTGGAGGGACAGCGCAGAAGGGGAAGACCCTCTATGAGGTGGATTGATTCAGTGACTGGGGTAATCGGGATGGGTGTGTTGGAGGCAGTGTGATTGGCACAGGATAGAGCAGAGTTTAGGGCTGTTGTACATAGGGTTGCTATGAGTCGCAAGTGACTCGACGACACATAACAACAACAATTCAGTTGACCAGCTTTTACCCTCTTGGTCATTTTTTTAAATCTTCTATGAGCTCAGGCTGTGCTCTACTCATTTGACAAGGTCCGGCTGAAACTGGATGGTGCTTGGCAGCCTTACCTGTAACTCTTCTGTGGTTTTGCCTCAAAATTGGGCAGTCTTCTCCCGTGTGGTTTACTGCCTCTGAAAATCCACTGAAAGGTCAGCTATTGGTCAGTTCTGACTCGGTGCACAGCAACAACATTGAGCTAGAGTCACCCATCTTTAGTGATCAAATTGCAACTAGACCACAGAACTTGTAGCTCTGACCACTGCCTCTTCTACTGCCTTCTGTGTCTCCCATGTCCTTCCTTACTCTCAATGCTCTTCTCTCTTTCATTTTATTAACTGAAAAAAAAGCATGATCTGTTAACACAAGGATACAGAATTATTTGGGGTTGAGACTTCCCAAGTTTTCCTGTATTTGAGCCCCCAAACGTTCCTTTTCCCTAGACCGTCCCCAAATGCAAAAACTGCCAAGATCTCAAAGGGTACCCTGAGCTGAAGATTATCCCCTCATGAGGCACTCTCCTCCACCCTCCACTAGAGACAGCCAGTTCTGGATTGTTACCTAGGGCTGGAAGAGGGAACAGAGGAAAAAGGGAGACCAGCAGGAGAAAGACAAAGGGAGAGTAGAAGAGGTAGCGGGAAGGGCCTTAAGAAATACCAAGTGAAGAGGAAGCAGTAGAGGGTTGGTCAGCCTGGGAAATCCCAAGGTAAATCGAGCGTAAACCACAAAAGTAAGCTTGAATAAAATACGGTGTCCAGCTCTACTCGGAATATTACTGCTTTTTAATTTTTGACTCATGTACTTTTAACTTGTTAGTTAAATTTGTGTCTTCTAGGCTGCAACACTTCCATGATACATCCTCAAGGATATGAACATGTACAGCTAAGCACAATTGATAACAGTGCATCTAAATTCCAAAATCAATCTCCATAATAGTCTATGT